CTAGTTTTTGAAACATGCCTCTGGTATATTGTTGAAATTGTTTCTAGTTTTTGAAACATATCTCTGGCATATTTTTGATATTGTTTCTAGTTTTTGAAATATGTCTCTGGTATATTGTTGAAATTCTTTCTAGTTTTTGAAATACGTCTCTGGTATATTGTTGAAATTGTTTCTAGTTTTGAAACATATATCTGGCATATTGTTGAAATTGTTGCTAATTTTCGTTTCCTGGTATGTTGTTTTTAAGAAATAACAATGTTTTAAAAAGGAGTTGTGTTATTTTTCTCAATTCATTTAAGATGAGGTTGAATATTTGATTTTTTTAATTTAGTATTTTTGATATATTTTGTGTGTTGTCTAAAAAAAGTTGAAGCTCTTTTTTTGATTGGGCTACCTTATCAAGCTTGTGTGAAGCTCTTTTTCTGATTGGGCTATCTTATCAAGCTTGTGTGAAGCTCTAAGTAATGAAAATAAATGCGGACTTGTTGGTGTCCAGTTACTCAAGAATCATTACTTTCAAATTCTCAGTATTAAATGTTATGTTTGGTCATGCTATTTGAAATAAACCTTTTTTGACCTGTGAAAACTAAGAACCAATTGTTTTTCTTGTAGGTGATGAAGCTTTACAGGTCAAAGAAAAGGTTGATCCCCTGCACAGCAAGTTCACAGAGTTAGCTCAGCGTTGTAGTGAACGTCACCGTCAGGCACTGGAAGCACTACCAATAACCCAGAACTTTCATTCTAGCCATGAAACTTTGGCAACATGGATGGATGAGGCAGAGCGTGTGCTGAAGACTCTTGATGTCAGCAGCTGGAGTCACAGGAGTCTAAGATTCAGGTACTGAGCTGTTTGATTAGTTGTTTTACTTTGAGAATCTAGAGTCTTGGTTTATTTTGCATAAACCTAGAATTTGGGCAGTGTCAGTGATACAGCTTTTCATTAATCTGTTTAGATAATCAGACCTTCACTTCTGAGCATTTATATCAGTGTATTCTTACATAGCGTCTAGAAGCAGAAATTCAGGAATACCGATCCCATCTCGAATCTGTAAACCACTTGGGTCCTAGGCTATGCCAGATATCTCCAGGTGAAGGTGCTTATGCTATTGAGAGTATTGTAACCAAAGACAACCGCCGATTTGATGCTGTCTGTGAACAAGTGCAACGCAAAGCCGAAAGGATAGAGTTATCAAAACAGAAGAATGTTGAGGTAATTAGTGCCAGAGTGTTATAGACTCTAGGTATTGTTTGTTTTAACTTGGAAGAAGTTAATATTCTATCTTTATTCATTTATTTCTATAAATTTTCAAATACAAACATTTTCATTAATTTATTTTAGCCATTATTAACTTTTATCATTATTGAAAAATCCAAATTATTCATCCTTAATGATTTTTTTTTCACTAGGTGGTAGGAGACATTGATGAACTTCTAGATTGGTTTCGGGAAGCCGAGCAACAGCTTCAGGAAGCTGAACCTATTTATCCAGACCCAGATTCTCTTACAGCCATGGTGAAAGAACAGAAGGTATTCCTCTATTGATACACTACATTCGTCTGTTGTTACTCTACATTTGTCTATCATTACTCTACATTCGTCTATTGTTACACTACATTCATCTATCGTTACACTACATTCATCTATCGATACGCTACATTCATCTATCGATACACTACGTTCATCTATCGATACACTACATTCATCTATCATTACTCTACATTCATCTGTTGTTACTCTACATTTGTCTATCATTACACTACATTCATCTATCGTTACACTACATTCATCTGTCGATACAACTACATTCGTCTGTCGTTACACTACATTCGTCTGTCGTTACACTACATTCATCTATCGTTACTCTACATTCATCAATCATTACTCTACATTCATCTATCGATACTCTACATTCGTCTATCATTACACTACATTCATCTATCGTTACTCTACATTCATCAATCATTACTCTACATTCATCTATCGATACTCTACATTCG